GGTTTTCTAAGTAGTAATTATTCATTTTTAGTAAATGATTTTCTTGTAATTGATACTGTTTAATGAAAAATTTAATTGTATTTTTAAGATACGGTATACATAATTACAATTAGTATATTATGCAATAAACAATTTTTAATGAATATCAAAATATTTTACACAATTATTTTTGTCTAATTTTAAATGATTGAATATAGTGATATGCATAATATTGTAAACAGTCTGGTGTTATAATGTTAATATAATTTGTTTAGTTTATATCTATGCATATCAATTTTATGACATACTGGTGTAATACACTGTATAGTTTAAAGATTTAAAATAAAACGATGATATTTTTAATTCATCTATCTAAATTTTATATATTACAAAGAGCTATAGTCATGTTTTTGTGAAAATATTTGATATTTTATGATACATATATGTTTTAAATGCTATTTGCATTAACCTTATAGGATGGATGCATTATGTGTCAACACGACCTATTCTACAATAAATACAAACTTTTAACGTATGTTATTTAGTTAACAGTATCTTAATTTAATAATTTAGTATAGATGTAGATCTAGGTACATTTTATTCTAAACTATTGTTTTATTTTGTAATAATATAAACTCACATATAGATTATTTAATTATTAATTATATATATTGCCATATTATTACCGTATAAGAATCATACATCTACCTCATGATTAAAGTCTTATTTGTAATAATCTGAGCTTGAAACATTATAACAACGGCGCAAGAACTTAGGTTATCGTTTTACTTCGTGTTTGTTAGAAGGTAGAGTTAATGATCCCATTTACTTCAACAGTGTATCCGTGTTCCGACTCAATATGAGGCTTTTTACTAACTGATAAAAGAACGGATTTTCTAAAACTCATATCTTATCCACACGATGAAAATTTTTATAGTGTTTGATGTTATAAATAATTCGTATAAAGTCATTCTGTTCATATGACCTAATATACATATTACATACCGACATTCTGTTCATATGACTTGGCTCAATTATGCTCTTCAACTTTTTAACCACTATGTCGTAATAATTGTTTATTTAAGTATTGTTTTCAACATGTACACTAATATAAAAGCCACCCGGATTTTATACTACAAATTCAATAAATAAATATTTTTAATATTAGTATCATAATATATTAGTAGTATGATTTTAGCGGTTCTAATTCACTAGTCCCTAGTCCCTAGTCCATGCGAGTCAATGCGCGCGCTCGCCATTCCATGCCGTGCTCTCCTCCATTCCCAATACATGCTGTGCATTGCCTCCCATCGGTTTTTAGGTAAACAATATTTACACCATAGTGTGAAGTGTATATGTTCAGCATCTATATTATAACGACTCATTAACGATGTGAGAACTTGTTTTTCTAATGGCATATTATTAGGTAGCGATATGTAATAATACTTATACTTTACTGATGTAAGGTATCGGGAAATCATAAAAATGTTAACGAAATTTATGTTTAAGAGTCGCTAACTATTACATACTATGTTTATCCATTGTTATTAAATAACTAGCTAGATTGTTTTATCAATAATATATTGTTTTAAATTAGTAGTATATAATATTGAATTAAATTATAAGAATTGTATAGTGTTTATATTTTAGCGTTAGATAAGGATTGGGGAGGCAATGCACAGCATATGTAGTGGAATGGGAGATGAGGAGGAGCGGCGGGCACGGGGAGGGGAGGGTGTCACCGCACGCGGCATTGACTCGCATGGACTAGGGACTAGGGACTAGTGAATTAGAACCGCTAAAATCATACTACTTATATTAATATAATGTTTAGTATTATGGTAAATATATAATAATATGAAAAGTTTTAAAATTAATTCTGATATCGGGTGTAATAGATATAGACTATAAAAATGGCCAAGATCGTTTTTAGAAGAAATTTAGTTTTCGACTAAACTTTATATAATATAAACATTTTTTTTTTTATTTGGGTATGAAATAAATTAGCAAATAAAATTTGAAAGACTTATGTATGTATTTTTTGTTCTAGTTGAGTCGAATTTGT